TTAATTGTCTACTAATATATCTTTTAGAGCATAATTATTTGATACTTTTACTTCATTTGGTAAAGAATTTTCCCATTTGAGTCTACATTATCTTTGTCCAAAGTTGATGAATAAAGTCTGATTATATAAAGAAAAAGAAAAACCCATAAAACAGTGGAGTAGTTGAAGAAAAGAGAGAGAGAGAGAGAAAAAAAAGGATGGAATTTTTTTATTTTTTATTTTTTTAAAGGAGAGCACGTGCTGCATTCCGAAGTATAATTAAAGTTGTGTACTTACATACTGAAATTTTAGAACCAAATTGCTAATAGAAAGTAGTTACTTTATGGAAACTCTAATTGAGCAAACAAGGTCTGGTCACAACTTGCATTTAATCAAATATTTATAAAACCAACTCCTGAATTATTAGACCTTACATTTTATAATAATAGAAATAACAATAATGACAAATCGAATATTATTTTCTATAAATTCGAAATAAGTTGTAATCTTTAATTTTTCCCTCATCATTATCTCCAACTTCCGTGAAAATGAATTTTTTAATGTTACGTATCTATCTAAGTTGTAATTATCGTAAAACAAAAAAAAAAAAAAATAATAATAATAAATAAATAAATAAAATTGTAATATGAAGCAAAAGAGAAGAGAAGTTACCCAATTGGCGTAGATAGTCACATAAATAACTTTTAATTCTCCATCAAAAAATAAATAAAATTTTAATTTCTTTCTTCATAATATAATATTGTATTTAGTCTATCTTACCATACACAGGCATAATCAATCATGCTACATTTACATTTTCTTTGTCATCAAGTTTGGCAAAATAGACTGAACTGAAACTGATAAAATACTTCTCTCATTTAATCAATCTTTGTCAAAGTCTATCTCACCAGTTACCATACATACAATCTTTTAAGTATATTGGTAAAATATGAACTGAAACTGATAGATAGCCTACATTTTTCTCTCATTTAATCAATCCTTGTCGAAAAATTCAAGTTAAACAAATCCAACATGCATTCTACGAAAATATATGAAAGGGGAGAAAACTCTCTTGAATTTAACAGTACAATTAAATAACAATTATCTCTCTGGATTAGAAACTTTCAAAGTATTTACTACTACATAGAAATTAACATTTTCAAAAATAATATTATGAACAAAAATTCCGGTGAAGAATGTATGATAATTGACAAATAACCATAATAATCTACATTTATTGAGGCCTAAATTGCTAGTAACCATATTTATTTGTTAATATTTAGCATTTTCCATCAATCAGGCACCATCAGTTTGTGATCAATGATCACCAAGAGTGCAAGAATACAGTAACACCACGTAGGGATGCCAACATTGTCTAGAAATGAGTTATGAAAGTCTACAATAACTATTTCAAAAAGAAACCATTCCAAAAATAAGTACACTACCAACTGGCGCATCCATTTTCTACAGAGTCTACATAGAATCCAAGTTCCCCCACCCTCCTGCCCAAGTCCCCCTTTGGCCACTCACGATTCATGTTAACTTGCAAAAATGTAGCAAGCTAAGAATTTCATCAACAAATATATGACTGCGGAAGGTTGTGTTTTAAAATTCAGCAAATAATCATCATTCAACTTTGGCAATGCCTCCACCGAACATGCTGCTATCGGCTACAGTCTCTCTCACAAGCCTAAGGATTGGTATCAAATATAAGTGGGTGAATATTGGTAATGAGCTCAATATAATTGATTACCTATAAGTTAATAATTCAGAAGAGGATAAAGCTATCACAGAGAAAAAGAATAGTACCTTGCTAATTTATCTTGAGATGATTGCAAAATAAAAATGGAGAGCATAAACGAAAGTGTAAGACCTGATTGTGCAAAACCAGCAGACAGTGAGAAATAAGAACTAAATGCCAATCATCAAATTTGGGTATTTGCCATTCCAAAAGCATGTTTACCTGATCCAAAGAGAACATATAATCCAGAAGCCACGTCAATTTCTGACTGCTCTTCCCTATCATAAATCAGAACATATTGTTATAAAACATCAATTATGATATGTGAAAGAAATGAATCGGAAATGATAAAAGCTGAGACATAGGCACTAGATGCCGATCAGTTATTTTGGACCAAAAATAGTTCTCAACATGCTGAACTTGTACACAAGGCTGATGCTCAACTCAAAAATGCATGTCTTTAGCACTGGCATCTAATTGTTAATCCTCGAAAGGAGAAGATTAAGTAAATTTTGGACAGCACTGAGCAATACTTCAGATTGGACATTTGTAAACATACAGAAACAAATTCGAAAAGCACAAGCAAGCAAGAAGCAAGTTCACATCATCCAAGTTGGCATCCGTAAACTGCAATATATCAGCAAGCTTTTACAGGAATACAATTGCCTGGTTCAAAAGAGTGGGTTTGAATGCTTTTCCTGCATGAATTACTTTCCACTTGATATGTGTTAAATAAGTTCAAAAATATGCAATCAACAGTTAGTCAAATATGAAATGAATCAAATGATGGAACAGACTAGTGCAGAACATGCTAAACATATCGTCCATAGAGAATCAAGCATAACTCCCTGATAGAACCCAAGTTGCTGCTGCCCAACTGTTGGAGGTTAATTGTACTCCATGGATGATCAATTAAATTGTTTATTGGAATATTGAATGAACATAAATGACAACAAGGCTCAGGCTATTCAAGAGGCCTGATCTCTCCACTATTTTCCCAATACTTCACTTCTTGAATGAAAATCCCAATTTCCCCTTATTCCATTTATAGACAATCTACTAGCTTTCTATTACTCTTTTGCCCTTTTTGCTAACTAAATATGGAATACTCTAGAGTAGTTGATGACTTGGCAGCAATGTGATTGGATATCTATCATTACCCGCAGCCTTGAAATCCACCTTGTCCTCAAGGTGGAGATGTGTTTCAACATTAAAATTTGAAATTTCATACAACGGAATCACTTCTTTGGCAAGAATCCCCACCAAGGCAAATGCTGAAATGCAATTTTTAAATCTCAATGTGGTTAAAAAGTTCTGGCGTCGACCACCTACACTTAGAATGTATCCATACAAATCCCATAAACAATCGCACTCCTTTGCGGGCTTTCCAATTTTCGAACCCAATGGCCCGAAATAAAATTGTAGCTAATCGCACTGTTAACAATCACGATCATAGGGCGTTGTTCAATTTGCCCCTGGAGTTTCATCATCCTTGGACGCTCTTCCTTTTCCCTCTCTCCTATAGTCATCATCGTCGGTAAGAGCACAGCGACTACTGTGGATTTTGGAACGATCGCGGCTGGATTTGATGTGTGGACCGGACTGAATTGGGTGTTTGGATTTGGGCTGTGGGTATTTGCTTTAATCTTATATGGGTTGTAAGCTAAGTGGGCCTGCTTCATGGAGTTATTGCGGCTTTCCACCATTTGGACCTGTTCCCTAATAAAACCCAGCCCTCGTTGTTGAATATGGCACAGTTTCTCATCATGGTCCAAGCCTACGAAATCCATTAATTTTCCATCGTTATTCTCCTGCTTCAGCCAATTCATAGAGATCCATTCCAAGACCTGCAAAGACCTTTTTTCCTCCAACGATGGTAATAACAAGATTTCAATTAATCTCCTTTCTATCCCGATTTCATCCAATTTGGGTTCTTCAACTTTTTCAGTTTTCCCAATTCGGCCCATCCAGATTCGTTCAATGATCTCTCCCTTCTCAATTTGTTGATCAATCCATTTGGACACGTAACTATTCCAATTGTCAAAAACTTGTCCTTCATCAGCATTGAAGATTAACATGTTCCCAGCATACTTGTAGCCTCCAACCTGTGCAATTAAGCAGGAAATCTCTGTCATTGTCTCTTCAATTTCTACTCTCAAAATCCTGAAGTCCAATAACACTCCCTGCCCTCTTTTTCTAAATGCCTTCACCATAGATTTCCTAAAAACTCAAGCTTCATTCGACCTCTTATTTGGAGGACCTTTTTCCATTGGCGTGGGTGGACGTACGGTGACCGCAGTGGTATTTGAGACAACAATGGGTGCTGGACTGGAAATATAAGTCATCTGATAAGGGAAAGCGTGAGAGGTGAAATTTATATCTGGGCTTCGAATGTTACCTTTGCTTCTATTTGGGTCAGAATTGAATTTGGCTTGCTTTAGAGCTTTATTGCAGTCCTCAATTCTTTGAGCCTCTTCCACAATTTTCGCCCAACCCTTTAGTATTATACAATTTTACTTCAGACATATCTGACAGTTTCTCCTCATTGACGAAGTTCTCCCTCAGCACTGTCCGGCAATGGCACTGATAAGTTTTCAATTAATCTTCAGCTTCCTTTGACAGTGGGTTCTTTACTTTGAATCCAGATGTCTATGCTTGCCCCAGTTTCATCAGAATAGGGTGGAATTCCAGAGGTGTGGGTGATTTTAGGTGAAGTAGCGGCCAATCCCCACTCCTTCCTTTCTGGTTCCTGTCCCTCCAATATTTTTATTATGAAATCCATTTTCTCCATCATCCTAGTCATCGCCGCCTTCATTTCAGATTTCAGTGTTTTCAGATCTTCCTGTACTTCTGACTGTATTCCATCAATTTTCGTCTCCAATTTATGAACTCTACCTTCTACCTGGTTTTCTTCATCGAATGTAATACCCCAAGCCAGAATGATTGCTCTGATACCATTTCGATAGAACCCCAATTGCTGCTGCCCAACTGTTGGAGGTTAATTGTACTCAATGGATGATCAATTAAACTGTTTATTGGAATATTGAATGAACATAAATGATAACAAGGCTCAGGCTATTCGAGAGGCCTGATGTCTCCACTATTTTTCCAATACTTCACTGCTTGAATGAAAATCCCAATTTCCCCTTATTCCATTTATAGACAATCTACTAGCTTTCTATTACTCTTTTGCCCTTTTTGCTAACTAACTATGGAATACTCTAGAATAGTTGATGACTTGGCAGCAATGTGATTGGATATCTATCACTCCCGTCCATGCATAGAAATTCAATATCCAAGTATTTGTTACAGCAAATTGATTAAACAAGTTCCTACTTTTAAAATATATCATTCAATCACTAAACTACTAGGTTTGTGGTACAAGAAATAAGTCAGATAACAAATAACGTAGACTTACATATTACAATAACTAAATATTCATTATGAATCCTACAAATGGCTGTATATAAAGCCTGACAATCATATTAAAAGATAGCCACAAGAAACAGAGATTTACCAAGTATATCTGACAAGAATATGCTTTGGCCATAGCTGCTGATCCCAAAATTGTTTGTGAATGTCGGGATGAATTTCTAAATCTGCTTAACACAAGTAAATATTAGCCTGAGGCTGTTTAACAATTTGGTCGGATGCAAGCCTCATCCAAAAGAAAGAACAAATAATAGATCAAATCATCTTCAGCATGACAGACTAATCGCCGTAACTTCAAATTTTCTTCGCTCACAAAGACTAAAAATAAAGATAATAAAACTAT